CGACGATAAATACAAAGGGAGAATCATTCGCGAAGTCGATCCATGGTTTTCGTACTTTCCGCGTGAATGCTTCTTTGTTCATGGAGTTCACCTCGAGGAAAAGTTTTGAGATAAGTGTTAAAGCTTCGAGACAAAAGGAGAAGTTTAAAGGAAGAGAGACAATAATGAAAAAAAAAAAAAAAAAAAGAAAAAAAAGAAAAGAAATAGAATGAATGAAAAAAAAAAAGGAAAAAGAAATAAAAATAAAAGAAGAAAAAAGAGAGAAGAAAGTAGACGTGGCACGTCCATCGTTCGCACAGAAAAGTATTTTATCGAAGAATGTATAATAATCTCGAAGGGATCGATAGTTACAGCCGTTTAATATTCAACCTTCGAGAAGTTATCGAGAATTCGAAAAATGTAATACTTATTACACACTTATCTCGGTCTTTTAAAAAAGTCTGCACCGAAGGGTAGTTTAATGCTGCCCCTTTTTTTTTCTTTTTTTAAAGAATCGAACGCTCTTCCAATTTAAGTTTGGCCTTAAGTCTCCACGGGCACGTAGAAAAAGAGCAAAGGGCTGCAAAGGTTATCTCGAGACATTGCCACATGATGCCTGTTATCAAGAACGATATCTATGGAGGACGGATGAGATCGATTGGATGAGAAAAGATATGTTGTTTGGAAAGTTTCCCAGGAAGTAACCTTTAGTTGGGCATTTAGGTCGTGTCCGTATTACATCGAGTCAGTATTATTATCGATTATAGAAGGTAGAAGAAGATGTGAAATCGTTTCTATCGTTCGACTGTACGTATGTACGTACATTTCTATTCTTGTCTAACGGACATTTCTCTTGGTCTCGCGTCGGTGTCGCTCGACGATCAACTAACATTTTTCTCGGTTTATCTTGGATAATTCATTTGATCGTTATGGTCTAACCGGATTCACATAAGATCTTGATATAACTGCTACGTCATAACAAACTCGAATAGGTAACAACAAAACTATTTTCAATCGTTTTTATTGACTTTGCTTGTCATAAGATATTGTAAAATGTTTAATCGATGGTAAATCATAGAGGATAAAGAGGATAAAAAAGAAAAGAAGAAGAAGAAGAAGAAGAAGAAGAAGAGGATGAGGATGAGGAGGAGGAGGAGGAGGAGGAGGATGTTAATGACGAAGAAAATATATTTCCGCGATTCCCACGTCAGAAACAAGGAACATCCGCCTACGCTTGGCGTCGATCAAGTACATACTACTCTTGATACGAACTTTCCTCTGACAACCCACACATTTAAATCGTATCATATACGCCATAGTTGTCTTCGTAGTCGTAGTCGGTCGAAATAGACGTGACTACTACGAGAAGGCGCCGTAGCCGCGCCATTTCGTCATGAGCCTCTAACTAACCTGCCTGCTTGCCTGACTGCTTGCTTGCTTGCTTGCTAGTTTGACTGCCAGCCTAACTGCCAAGCTGCCTGCTAGCCTAGCCGCATAAATAGATACGCGTTTCGACGCGAGTTCGCCTGGACTATTATTTGTTTGACTTATTATTCGCACGCTCGTGCTTTCGTACTTACCCCACGGCGATATGGCGTAAATTAATTTTAACGAGGATTAATTACGACGATCTTATTCTCCTATCCGGCGATAAGTGGGAATAAAATTGAGTAAACATGTGGAGAGAAAAAAAAAAAGAAAAGAGAAAAGTATAGAAATTATTTCGTTCGAAATTAAAATTGAAATTTTTAATAATACTCATCAATCAAGATATTATTATATTATATTTATATATAGATTTATAATGTATAATTAAAAATATAAATAATAAATATAATTATATTATATTTATATAAGATTTTATTAAAGATCGATTGATACGAAGATAGTTATGTTAAATTAATGATAAGTTAAAAAATGTATTTATCGATTGGAAATAGTTATAGAGACGATCGATAAATCGTGGGCAGGGTCGTCGAACGGTTACCGATCGTTTAGATCGCCAGCTTTGGTTCTCATTGAAAGAATTGCGATCAATGTCAGGGACTGAACCCTTTCTCGACGAAACAGTTTGCTTCCGTTCGTTGTGAAACGTTCAGTCGCATGCCAATCAGCGACTATTAGTTCGACTTCATAAGGTATAGCGAAAGAAGAAACAGTTAGATACCTATCGTGTTAGCTAGTAGCTCTATAACTTTTATTTTATTTCTAGGAAGTAAAAGATGAGTGAAAGATTTAGTCATGACGATTTAAAAATATATCCATTAGATATTAACTATCGATAATCATGATCTCTCTCTCTCTCTTTCTCTCTCTTTCTCTCTCTCTCTCTCTCTCTCTCTTTCTCTTCGATTCAAACTCTCAGGCTGAAAATCTCTCTGTGGCAGTTCGAAAGTCGAGTTTAAATGTTGAACCATTCATCACCAAGAAGAAACATTATCTTCACCGTCCCTTTCAACGTCAACCGTTTTTCAACGATATCGATCATCGCATCGTTACTCGTACGAGAGATCTATACGGTTGGCTATATAGTCTTCTTTCTCGTTAAGTTCATCGATATTCTAAGGTGGAACACATACGGAAAGAATACAAGATTAGACCAGAACCAATTTTTATTTTTCGTGTCTCGAATTTATTTTCAACATGACAAAATTTATCAACAGATGGGTCTGTTAAGTCATTAGCCGTATTGTTTGTGTGCTACACACGCAACGTTTTTCCTATACCTGGATATACCTTTCAATACTTTAATAGACGAACGTGTGCCACATCTAATATACCCAGTGGCGTAATAAATCGTCGGATGACACGGCGAAAGTCTGACTCATTTGTTTGACCTTTCTCTTTCTCTTTGTCTCTCTCTCTCTTTCTCTCTCTCTTTGTCTCATAATAGACCTTTTTTCGATCATTCGTTTTCAAAAGTAATTGACCCGATCGTGTAACCGTACGATCGATTTTCAAGGATGACGAGGGAAACACGAACAAGATCGTGGCACGCGAATGCGTCATCGTCCACGAGATATGCGTCAGAAGTTAGACACGTCCGTTTCATTTTATTTTATTTTCCTTCCAAATCGATTTACATTTATATTTTTATTCATTCGATTAGTCGTTAGATTTTCTTTTCTTTTATTTCTTTTGTCTAATTGCATTTATATTAAAGTTTTATCTATGCCGTACGTTTTTACGTTTACTTACATTAATTTATTTTTACTATATTTACGTTTGTTATGCATCGTTTATGTTTATTATATTTTCGTAATTATGATTTGTATGCATTTACTAACAGATACGTTTTTACGTATTTTGTTCATTTAACCGATCGTTTTTGAAACAGGAACAAAGAAAAAGCAGAACGGAAATTTCACGCGGAAAGGGATGTAGACGTTTACGGTAGGCTCTCGTAAAGATTGAAAGCTTTCCTCCCTCACTCTTTCCTCTGGCGTAACGCACAATACGATTCTAATTGCTCGTGAAGGGTTTGATGGATCTTCCAGGAATCTACTTGTATTCGCGAATAGGCAATTTTTTTGGCTTTTTATGGACAACCGGTTTTTATGTGTAACGCATGGTTCAACGTCGACGATAATACCATTCACTTTTGTCGCTTCGTTTCTCGCTAAAGCGACGTTTTCATCTAAACTATATACACACACACATATATATATATATATATATATATATATATATATATATATATACGTAATACCTGCGTTAGAAAGTTCAGTTCGTTCAGTTTTATAATATAAATTATAACTGAAACATGTACCACTATATTCTCACTATTTTTGAATATTGTCGATACGTTCGAACACTTGGGTGAAAAATTTTCTAACGCTTGACGCCACTCAATTGATCGATCTAAGTTATTGAAAGGTGAAATTGATGAAGGAATAGAGGAAGTTGAATTTTTAGAAAGCGAAGTTTTTCATATATTTTCCACGAAGAGAGAACTTGTTATTTCATTGTAAAATATTTCTCTCGGTTTTTCTTTAAAAATTATTTACCAAGTAACACATTGGTAAATATTTACGTATATACGTATGTAAAGGAAAAGAGAAAAAAGAAGAAGAAGAAGAAGAAGAAGAAGAAGAGAAAAAGTACTGACAGCTTTGTCCACTGCGGAAACGCATCGTCACCGGCAATTACGTGAATGCCAATCAGCCATAACGTCGACGGCCGACCCATTTTTAACTCACCCTAACGCTTTATCAACGAGTAGACAAATAATGCCTAACGTTCTCTTTTACTATACGTAACCAAGTAATATCGCTAAATTTTTTTCATAACACGATTCACTGATTTCTCTCTCACGGTCTTTTTTTGTAATAATTTTTTTTTGTCTTGCTATTTGAAGTTCTCGAAAAAAGTCAATCGAAAAACTTCGACGAATTCATTATTTCCCAGATTTTCATGTATTTCGATATTACGCAAAGTAATATTTTCTTCTAATTAGAGCGCCAATTTCGAATAATTTAAGTTTCAAATTTTAATTTAAAAATAATTAAAAATTCATTATCTCTCAGAATTTCATGCATTTCGATATTATACAGAGTAACATTTTGTTTTAATTAGAGATACAAGTTTCAATATCTCAAGTTTCGAATTTTATTTTAAAATAATTAAGAATCCGAAAGTTTGCAATTTTGTTAAGATAAATAAAATGTGTTACGTCGCTTGTGCATCATTATGTTTGTATGAATTAATTTGAGGGAATTTTTTCGTCTAATAATAATAATAATAATAATAATAATAATAATAATAATAATAATAATAATAATAATAATAATAAGATAAATAACACTATAGCGAAATCCTATAAAGAAATTGTTGAGCGTTTCTCTATCTTATCTATTTTTTCTTTTCTTTGTTCTTTTTTTTTTGTTTTGTTTTTTTTTTGTTTTTTTTTTAAATAAAGCGTATAGCAAAAGCACCATGAAAAGGGCAGTAATCTTTTCTCTGATTTCTGTTTCTTTTTTCTTTTTTTTTTCAAATCGCTTTTGAAACGGTCCTCCTCAAAGCACGGTTTTCTCTCTACGAATCCGAGAAAGCTTACGTTGCTCTATTATCAGGCCAATAGACGTAGCCGAGAGGTCTTTTGTACAATAGAAGGAGGGAGTCTTTCAAAAAGGGCGCATTCTTCTTCTCGACGTTGGTAAGTACAGTGCGTGTGTCGTGTGTACACACGTGTTCGCTAATGACCGAGCATTGACGCGCGAGGCGAATAGGGTAACTCGAAAAGGAAATCATCGTCGTTGGCTACGAATAACGAAGTATTGTGTCAATTCCAACATTTTCACGCTTCACTTTCTCGACCCTTTTCTCTCCTTTTTTCTCTTTCTTTTTCTTTTTTTTTTTCCTCTTTCCCGGAAAGGGTAACTTCCAGCCTTTCGACGAATGATCAACGACGCGATTTATATATATGTATATATATATATATATATTATTTTTTATTTTTTTATTTTTTTCAGATTTTCACTTTTTTTTCCATCTATAATTTTTTTCCAACAGAACTTATTTATTCGTTCTCTTATTTACTAATAGAAATATTTTAATCGAGTTTTTACGATCGAACGTCGTGCTAGTAGAGACAGAGAGAGAGAGAGAGAGAAAGAGAGAGAGAAAGAGAGAGAGAAAATTTTTTTGAGAATTAACAAACACTTACACGTTTATTACTCGTACACATGTAAAAAATTAAAAGCTAAATGGAAAAAAGGGATAGTTCGATGTAAGGACCTCTCGTAGTAAAAAGCCCTCGACAAAGGTAAAACATTTTTTCTTCCTTCTTTCATGGATTTCTTTTTTCCTTCTTCGTTTCTTTTTCTCTTTTTCTATTCTTTTCATTTCATTTTTCGTCGACTGCACTGCCATCAGAGACTGGCGGTAATCCAAAGGGTTAATAGCGGCATTTGTTTAGGAATTAAGTGCAAAGAAGCATAAGCGAAGTACACGAAGAGTGTCAAGCTCCGGTTAGGCTCATTAGCAGGCTACTCGACGGTAGAGTTGTCCTCTATATTATACGTGAGTATGCACGCGAAATGCATTTTTATCCTTTCGAGACTTGGATAAAGCTTTCTTCTTCGTACCAACTTAGTATGTACATACATACATGCATATACATATATATATGTGTGTGTGTGCGCGTGTACGTGTGTATAGGTACATGAGAGTAAAATAGAAAATCGGTGTCGCTTATATTTGACGAGTACTTCTCCTGTATTCGAGTTAAGAACCCAAGACTCCCAAGCAAGACTTTCAATCACTCGAAATAAATCGAAGACGCATTCGTGCGTGAAGATCTTCGTAAATTTTCTTTCAACAAAAGGGAGAAGGAATTGCGTAGCTGTTCAAGGACCTCGTATATACCATTTCGCACAATCGCATTATAGTTTGTGATCTTTAGCTTGGATTGAAGAAAAAAAAAAAAAGAAAAAAAAAAGAAAAACAAAAAAAGAAAAACAAAATAAGACCAGGCGGTCTCTATGGGACAGTAACAATATAAGAATAATTATAATAATCGAAAAAGTTCGCGTGCGCATAGATCGTAATAATAATAATAATAATAATAATAGAGCGGTGCACCGAACGTTTGAGATTTACGAGATGTGATAAAACATGGCCGTGTGTTACGCTCTTGAAGTCCGGTCGATGTGCTTAGACACATTTCATTGGTGTGTCGCAGTAGGGTCTTAAGTGGACTGTGATTTGCATCTACGTGATCATTATTCCTAGAGAGGAGAGAGAGAGAGAGAGATAGAGAGAAAGAAAATGACGCTATTATTAATGTCGATATTACGTATATATATATATATATATTTAGATGACTAACTTTAAGGCTGTTCATCACCTTTATGATTTTATAAAGCTAACAATGAGTACAAGAGTAATTCTAAAACAATTTTGACGAACAAAATGTCATTTTAGAGATGAAGTTTCGTGCAAGGATATTGCGCTTTTTCGAACTTTTGAAAATAAAGCTATTTCTCTCTTTTTTTTTCTTTTTTTTTTTTTGGAAAAAAAATGGAGTCAAAAAATAATGTTCTTTCGACAATAATTTATGGGTAAAAATGAAACTTCTTATAAAATTCGTAAAAGTCCTGTCCTCGCTTAAACCATCTTTAATATGAGATTTTGTTCATAAAAATCTTTCAAAAAAATTATACCTCGACGTTAGCTGCTCGACGTTAATGCTGTTTTTGACATTTTTTAGTGAAAAAAAAAAAAAATATTCGTATAATGGCACCCCTTGAAGTTTGCGGGAAAAGAGAAAGAACTCTTACCCTTACTACTGATTTTCATACTAACGCTAGAATATTGTTCTACTGGTTTATTTTCGATTTGCTCACTCGTTTGATATGCCTAAATCGGAACAATTTCATGTTGAATTTCGACCGAATAAAAACCGAAGAATTAAATAAATTATGCTTTCAATTTTTATCTGAAAATTATTAAAATAATTTGAAAGGTGGACGGAGTATAATACTTTTTCAGTATTATAATATTGATACTAATAATTTTTCTGTTTAAGTACTTTATTGCAATCGTTTGTGTGCCAATGAAATAGCCGGAGTATTTTTATCGGTAAAATAAAAATATCGCCAAGTAGAAGCAATGTTTGTTCGTTCGCTTTTTTTTCGATTTAAATAACAAGTGAATTTGCATCGATTGCGTGAAATGTAGTTGTTAGAGTCAATGTTTGTTCCCAAAGTTTTAACAGTCGTACAGGCTGTATTTATAAAAGATAGTAGAGTTTAGTGAATTAATTATAATGACTATTCGTTAAAAAAAAAAATAAACTTACCACGTATTAGAGTCAGTATATCATTGAAGAGTATCTCAATCAACATCGATCTCGTTCTATTTCATTTTCTACTAGCTACCAGATCATCCATCTTTAATTTCAATCTAAAACGCGAACGAGTATTTTGGATCCATTGCAGAACTTCTTAAGTAGTAAGTGAATTTTTAAGTCTCTTCGATCACTCAATCATTTCGAGGACGTAAGATCTGAAATGTTACGGGGCAATTGATTGTAATTAATTAGTAAAAGAGGATTGAGAATGATCAAGAGTAACTCTTCTTGGAGTTTTGTAAATGGTTCCTTATTTTTTGATTTATTTATTAGATCAGGATAATGTCATCTTGTTAAAATGCGTTATAAAAGAAGAGTCTCTGTCATTGCTTTTGAAAAGAAAAATGTCATTAATTAGAGATATTCATTAATTTTTCATATCAATTATATTTATTTATTTATGCATTTATATCCGTAAAATAAACACCGGCATTGCTTTCTATTTATCACATAAATGAAAAGTATGATTTTACAGACTACTAACACTATCTATTTTAATCCACATTAACCCGATAGTTATGTTACATGTGAGAAAACAATAATCTACACCTTGTAAACTGATATGATAGCGCATGGTGGTGATAATGTTTTTACTTATCGCTGAAGTCAAACAAGCTTCGAGCGAATGGTAATGAACTGCTTTAAAAACGATGATCTAACTTATTCTTATTTAATGTAATTACGATGTAATATCACGCTCTTCGATATGAAACGTGACGATAATTTGTAATTTCTTGTCTTTTGTGAAGATTAAAAAAAAAAAAAAAAAAACAAGAAAAATATTTGATCGATACTTCACGTTTTACTGTCTCAAATACGGTACATCTTTTTAATAATGTTACGGTCGGTATAGAAGTATTCTTATCTTTGATAGATAGATTATCTCTTACGATATATATAGCTTTGGATTTTATCATTGTAGAAAATGACATCGGTGTTATTGCAGGATTCTACTTTATCGATGTAGCTATTGATAATTTTAATGTGTGATTTTATTATGAAAGTCGATAAAGTAGAAATCCTTTTTCTTTCTATAAAATATGATCGTAGATACTTTATCGACATTAATAATAATATACATATATATATATATATTTGTCCAATAATTTATATATATATATGTATATAGCATAAAAATTTTAGAATATAGCATGTGATGATAAATGATCTTTGATTGATTATTAAGTTAATTAATGTTACATGGAACTTTTTAAAATTGTGCATAGATATATATATATATATATATATATATATATATATATATATATATTTTGTATAACAAACAAAAAAATTTTTATGGGTTTAGGACTATCATATATATATGTATATCACCAGTTTTTTTATTCCAAAAAATATCTAAAGGTCCTGCTTGATTGCCGGGACGGAAGTATGTTTGTTTCACGACATCCTGGGTCTGGACCAGTTTCCTTTTATTCTTATATTTTGAAAGGAAGACGAGTGAAAGATCAAAAGAAGTCTATGCCACCGTCCAGTTTAACATTCATACTATTTTTGCGGAACAATAGTTTCCAGATAAATACCCTAAAGATAGAAATTCACGGGTGATAAATATTTTGTTGAAAATAAGAGGAAAATGTCGGATGTAATTTAAAGAAACAAAAAAAAAAAAAAAAAAAAAAAAAAAACAACAACAACAAATAAAAAAAAGGAAAAGAAAAGAAAAGAAAAAAAAGAAGGAAAAAGAGAAAAGAAGCATTACATATAAAATACGATATCAAAAATATTACAAAGAAGATGTGGATGAGACATTGATATTCAAGTGGACTTGGATCGATCGTTATACGATCCTTTTTCATAGAGGATATGGTCTCGATTGAGGGATGCGAAGATACTTACCTACACGATTTTCATACGTTGGAAATGGTGGTACGCGCTAAAGTATTTCCTTCTGACATTCAAATGCCGAGATGCACATGAAAAAGAATACGTACATTCGACGGCGGCTATTCATCGCTCAAAGGCATCATTTATCAACATATTTGATATGCTCCCGCGCGCGTTACATTCGCGGCTGAACCTTATCCTAGACCCTTCCGAGATGGATATAGCGTAGAAATAATATGCTAATCGCGCGAAGGCGGACTTTAAAAAGTGCTCCGATAAATTCTCCAGACTTTTGACGTAATTTCGACTATACCCTCCCCTCCCTACAACCTTTCTTTCAACCACTCCTACACCCTTATACCCGTTCCACCTCTTTTTCAAGCTCCTTCCGAAAGATTCTTTTTACGTTGGTTTCCGCGGTCTTAAGAAAACTTTTGCCTTTCCTTAACCCAGCTTCA